TATCTCAATGGTGCTTCTGCTTAGTGAAAAGATGAGCCTTTGTACCAAGGGGGATTAAATATCAACCACAATTATGGGCTGGTCACTCTAGGAGCTTTCCTCCCAAATCAGAGAAGAGTACATTTTGGAGAGGCTGCCTCTTTCCTGTGTATTAGTCTTTGTTTCAGCTTTGGGACAAAGCAGTTGCCTTTGCACAATTCTCCTTTCACTGAAATCCAGGGGAAAATGCACAATATGGTTTACAGAAGGTTGATTCACAATAGTGGGACATAAAAACAGCCTTTGGTGCTATGTAGGGGAGAATATTTTTGAAATGTCATCCTGGGGACAAAAGTATGAAACTGTGATCCATGCAGGGACAAATACCCACTACCACAGATGATTTTGTTAGTGATTTCAGAATTGGGTGAGATTTTCTGTTATTTATTTATTTATTTATTTATTTTTTACTGACTCTAGCTCTTAGACATTCATGCTATGAACTATGTTCTCTCAGTCCAGGAATCTGTTTAGGGATTTGGGGTAGTGACTGTGGAGGCTACTTGGAGCAGGGGGGATTGTTTTCAGTCACAGCCTAATGGGCAAAGCCTGGGCTCTTCACACTGGGGACACCAAGTCGGCTGCTAGGGACACACTGCTGGATGCCTGCATGCTGTGGCAGCAGCTCCTGCAGCTGCCTCCTCCTTCAATGTGGCTGCCACAAATCTGAGAAAGACATGCAGCATCATACAAAGGATTTCTCTAATGAGGATGAGTTCCTCGGAGTGACTGTGGGCTGTGGTTCTACTCCGGACTCTCTTTCCCTCTAACACCATCTTTTCCTACCTGTGATATCCTTCCTTATACACTAGCCTGGGGCTGGAGAAAGCAACAACCCCAACCCCCAATGCATACACACACAACTACTACTCTCTGATAACCCAGAAGCTGATTTCTATTTTACCCTGGTAGTCGATTGAGGATGGACTGGGTCAGGCTAGAATTTTAGAGTTGGGCAAAAGCAAACACATCTTTCTTTTTTTCTCTTTGTATATCTCTAAACCTCCTCCCTTCTCTGCCATGGTCTTCTAATCTCATCGCAATGATGAGTAGCTCCCACTTGGAGTTTGGTTGTAAGGACTAGATGTATTTCTCTAAGAGGATCTCCTTACCAGGGGATGGTCCAGGCAGGAGGAGGAACCCTAAGCCCATTTCTTGGGAATTTAATGTGGGCTGACCTTGGCTGGATGAAGGCTGAGATTGGTTATGCAACAGAGCACTTAGGTTTTCGCAGCTTGAATCCCCCTGGCTTTCTGTGGAGAGATGACTGGCTACAGGGAGGCTATTATGCCTTATAAAGCTATTTATCTTCCCAAAGCTAAAGGGCCCATTCCTGTCTTCAGGTTGGGGAGAAGGGTAGGTTGGGTCCAGTCAGGTGAAAGAGTAAAATATCACTCAAAAAAAGTTACTTTGAGAAAGTATTACTAGTTATTCGGGGTGGGGCAGGCAAAAAAAAAAAAAAAAAAAAGAAGAAGAAGAAGAAAAAGAAGAAGGAGAAAGTATTACTAGTTATCGAAACCAGTTATCTCTCTTTTAGAATGTGGGAAAGAGGGAGCTATGGGGCTGTTTGGATAAGAAAGGAATTCTTCCATTTTGTGCTGATCCCTTTGGCCATCTTTTATTCTGCATCTCTTCTGCTCCTCTTCCTCCCCCCATCATCCTCTTCCCTGCTTCTTCTCCCTTTCTTCCTCCTCTTCTTTATCTTAAATCATGTCAGAAGAACAAGCAGGTCGAAAGCACCAATGGGCTTACACTGTGAGGGCCTCTGCTGCAGCTGAAACAAGGCCTGGCTGTGTCTGGGCAGGTGGCACAGAGCACAGAGATTCTTGTTCTTGTGTGACCAAGGGATAATTTGGAGAGAAGGAATCTCCTGGGGGGAAGACATGTGGGTGGGGCCTCTCTGTCCCAGGTCACTGAGGCACAGTTTCTTCGCCCAGGGCCTAAGCCGAAGGACCCTGAAGGCCCGCCCTGGTGTAGGGTACCTGTTGCTGGAAGCCGTGTGGGGAGCCTCTGGCCCCCTGGCCTATTGTAAGTCTTGGGGTTAGGTCGGGCTCCCTCTGGGGCTGCTGGATTCACCTGTCATTACGCTCACTGCCCAGGGACCCTGACAAACCTCCACAATGTGGGGCTGAACAAGGGCACTTAAGGTTCACTGATCTGTGTGTAGAACTTTGCAAAACTGCAAATAAGCGAGAAAATTTGGCTATTCTTGTGACGGGAGATACAAGTTTGCACTTAACATGGAAGCATGAGAAAAAGAAGGGGGAAAAACCCTTCTGGCCCAAAGCCCCACTGTAATCTCCAGAACAATTTCATTTCCTCTGCAGCACCCTCGCTACCCTCGCCCAGGCCTCAGAAAGGTCAGGGGGAGAAGGAGCTTAAGAGCAGAGGTGGGGATGCAGAGGGGTGGCTAGGCCCTTGGCCAGGTCGCAGGTGAGGGCCGGCTGGATGATGCGCAGGGACAGGATGGAAGGGCGGGACGGGGGAGGGGCAGAACCACGGCTTTGGAAGGGTTTGGTGTTTTCTAGAGGGCTTTTTCTTAGGAATTTGCACGGCCTGCTCGGTGCGGCTTACTGGGGCTCTCCCCCGCCCCTGCTAGCAAAACAGGTCGCAGGGAGCTCAGGTTTCCACCGAAGCCTCGCACTGCCAGGCCGCGCTCTGCCGGCCTCTATCAACAGGCCTTTCCCGCTTGCTGAGAAAGGGAAAAGCGCGCGCCCCGGGACCTGCGGGCTGGGATCACCTCTGTGCCGAACGACTCCAGTCCTCCCGGGGAAGCCAAACTGCTCTCTAGCAGCTGCGTCAACCTCGCCCGGCTGCGCGGGCGGGAGAGCGTGTTTCTGGGAAGGGCTCCTGCAAGCTGCAGCCGAGATCCCCAGCGGTTGCGCGGCTGCCGGGAACCCGATGGTGGCAGAAAGAGGCAGGCCGCGGAAAGCTTTGCCTCTCCCCTCCAAAGGGGAACTTGGAACTTTTGAACCCTTTACTTTAAAGTGATTGATCATGCTCCACCAGAGAGCGACTCCACCCCCGCCCCCACCTCCTTCCCTTGTCACCTCGGCTCTAAGTGTGCGTGGAGGAAGCGCAGGGCGCGCGGGGTTGTGCATTTGGAGCTCTGTGCGGCCAACGCGAGCACCCAGAGCCTGAGCAGCTGTCGCGATTTCGGAGGAATCCCGATCTGAGCGCCCAGAACTGGGACGTCGGTGCGTGCCTCCTTGCCCACAGCCCTCTATGTGCAACACTCCAGCAACAGCTTTTCCCAGGAAATCCGTCCCTGCGCGCCTGCACCCTCCAAGGAAGTCCTCGCAGGAGCCGGGCTCCGCACTGGGAGGCTTCAGGGAACGGAGCACCGGGGCTCAAAGCCTCCACGAATTAAGCTGATTATTAATTTGGGCTGGTGGGAGCGAGTAACACGCTCGACGCCTTTGCCTTTGGGAATTGTCCGGGAGCTGGGACGGAGGCAGGAATGACCCTGGGTTGCGACTGGGAAATGCGACTTGCTGAGACTCCCGGAGGTATCTGAGAGGGCTGGGTAGAACTCCCGGGGCAAAGGTTGGCTCTTCCTCGCCCCCAAATAAATTCCTAGTTAACTAGTGTAGACTAAACACATTAATAGTATTAAGTGGTGAAAACAGACAGGGTTGAACGTGAGGGCATGTCAACTGGACCCAGACCGGGTCATATCTCTCCTCTGGTGACAAATCAGGGTGCTTCCAACACGAAAATAGAAATGTAACATTCAACTGGAAGAATTAATTTTTGACGGATTTACGGTATGATTTTCTTTCAAGCGGTATTCATTGGTTCTTTCCATCCACACTGCCGTCCAAAGACAGAAATATAAACAAGCACTTTCTGCTTTGCGGAAACCCCTTAACAGTATCTCCCAAAGAAAGATCAAGACACTTTGTGAATTTTCCCCAGATAATGCCTCATATTCCGAATGACTGATCAGAGAACTCTCGTATTGTTCAATAAAATGAGAGGAAGGCGAGTGACGTGGGAGTCGAACAATGGCATTTCTGAATCAGTTTGCTTGATTGACATTTGGGAGCTTCATGACCCCAGGGAATAGGACTCATTACGGTGAATACACCAAAACATCAACCAAGATTAGAACTCTAGATCCTGTTTTAATCCCATTTCAGTCCAAATTACAGTGGGAAAATATAAAATCCAAGTGGAGAGAATCACTCCGTTATGTATTGCCCTAAAGTTTTATTTGTACTAAGGGGGAAATAAAAGTGGAAACCCTATATACTTTCCAACACTTTAGATAGAGCACTGACAATTAAGGAAAATGCATGGATTTGGTAGCGGAGGTACTAAGAATATTTATGTGGTAGAAAACATTTCATACTTGGGAGACACTTTATTGGAAAAATAAGTAGGGAGTTTTTTTTGTATGTGTAAGAAAAATATCACAACCCTTTCCACTTAAAAAGCGAAGGTCATTTTGATGCCCCCAAATAGCTGATGCTAAGAAATAATTAGACGCCTTAAAGCTACTGTCTAAATTTCCATGATTGTTTGGAAGAACCCTCTCCAACGTGGGAGGGGAATTTGTTTTTTAATATCAAAAGCTGTGTTAGCATGTACATTTAACCCAGGAAATTGTGAGAACTGATCTTCAACTCAAGTTGGAAAAAGGGAACGTGTTTGAGCAAAGTCTATTTTTACCAACAGAAAAGTGTGAGATAAAGTGGACTGTGTGTTGGGTTGAGAATATAATCTATGGCAACTTCACCATACAAAATTTTCGATTATTCAATGGAACTCATCCTCAAATTTTAGAAATTTGAAAAATTAAAGTCTTAAGTACTGTGTGTTAAACTGAACCAAGAGCTCACAGAAACACAAAGCTGTGGTAAAATACGTTATAGTTATAGTCTCATATATTTAGTAGGCAAATTACAGCAAAAAAATATACTAGGAAGATATGAAATGGGGCAAATATGTTACGAATAATGAAACAGAAGGAGTTGCTGCACAATATAGCTTCACGATCTTATATTTTGAGGGGTAGGTTTTAATAAGAAGCCTCTGTATTGCATGGGAACTGGGAGTTGTAAGAATTATTTATGCAGTAAGAAGGAACAAAAATTAATTATTAGGAGCTCAGTAATCACCAAATAAACTCTGAGCTTTGAGGTTACAAATAGACGACTATCTTCATGTTCAATTATACAGTATCAATTACTAATACAACTGCTGTTTCAGTGTCTCAGCGAGACCAGATACCATCTTCTATGGAGATATCTTGGTATTAATTAATGACTGCTTTATTCTCATTATTCACAAGGAAAAATAGGGGTCGTGTCACATTAAAATTAAGATTATCTTAGTTTATCTGGGCTCTTAAACAAAGATCATTCAAAGTAATTATATTTTGAATTAACCGAGGTGGGCAATTTATCTCGTTATTTTTTTGTTCAAAGACAGGAAAATAAAGATCAGAAATAAGCAAAGTTTCATTTTGAAGATTGAAAGAACCAAACAAACATGTCTTGACTTTTGCAATATTTCCCTTGCTAAAGGGGGAATGAAGGAACTGTAAAAGACGTGACTTTGCAAAGTCAAATCCTTTTTAAAAGACTCGGATCGAAATTCTTGCTATGCAACAAGGATTCAAGTTTGATTAATTTTCTGCAAGCGACGTGACAGCGGTGTTTTAAAAGATTAATTAAAATTGAAGTGATACGGAGCAGGAATTCAACCTGCAGAGGCGTCCCTGGCGCCTTGGGGGGCTTTGCAAGCAAGCCCCAAGCCCGAATTGCGGGCTTTCCCGAGCCTGGGACGCAACTCCCAGTCTCCTGGAGAGGAACGCGGAATTTGGCAGGGCGCCCGCCTGGCCGCCTGGCATCCTGAGCTGGCCGCCAGCTCTTGGGGGTGGGGACGGGGTGTGTCCTGGGGAACCCGCTGGCGAGAGAACAGCTAGCGCAGCTCAGCTCGCGACGAGCCAGTGAGGACCAGGGTCAAGCCAAGAGGCCGGAGGGGGCTCCTGGCAGCCAGGAGCTGACGGCCCCAGGCAGCGTCCTCTTCACCTGAGGGTGCGGGTTGGGGGCAGGTACTTTGTGACCCGGCTGGTTCGGAGCCCCCTCCATTGCGGAAGCTTGCAGGGGTGCGGGGGTGTGAGTGGCGCTCCTCGGACGCGCTTACACAGTGCAGAGGACGTGCAGGGCTCGGCCCGGAGGCGGCTGCACCCGGGCCTGCCTGGCGGACCCGGACTCCGGACTCCGGGAGGCCCAGCCCCGCGCCACTGCCTCAGCCACGTCTCCCACCTCTCTGCTCAGTTTCCTGCCCCAGCTTCCCCCTACCCCCACATCCCTGTCCTCTCGCTTCCCTCCTCGACTCCTCCACCAGAGTAAGAAACGAAGCCGAACGCATTGGTAACTGTGCTCAAGAAGATACAATCGCGGGAGCCCTCAGGGTGGCGCGCGGCGGAGAGGCGACGCGGGTGGCGCTGCAGAGGGTACGGTGGGGGGCGGGGAAGAGGGGGCGTTCTTGTGCAATTAGCCTCCCCGGGGCGCAGACCACGGTGTCCCCTTCTCTCCAGCTGGGGGTCTCGGGTCCTGGCGCTGAGAGGCCGCGCCTCGCCTAGTTGCCCGGGCGTTGCGCCTGTGGGCCCCAGGGTGACGCGGCGGGGGCGGCCCTTGCGACCTGCGGCGGCACCGGGAAAGCCCTGTCTCTGCGGCGGGTCCCAGGGGTCGAGGCCTGGAAGGGTCCCTGGGGATGCTCCGCGCTGAGAAGGCTCTGTGGTTTCTCCTCCCCCTCACGTCTCCCTTTCCTCCCCTCTTCCCGGGGACCTCGAAGGTGGCAGGGAGGTGGGAAGGGAGGCGGGCGAGCAGACCAGGCAGGCTTGGGAGCCGGAGCTCGGGAGCTGGGGGAGTCGGAAGCGCGTGGACGCGATGGAAGGGGCCGGGAGCGAGGGGGACGGCGCTGGGGAGGGCTAGGGTGCGGGGAAGGCGACAGTCCCTTCCTCTGTGAGTGGCGCGGGGTACCTCTTCCCCGGGGAACCCCCACCCAGCCGTTCCCAACGTGGAGAACAAAGGGTCTGGGAAGCACGGTCGGGGTCGGGGAGCGGAGGTGTAGGGAGGCAGGAAGGCAGGCGGTGGGGGCAGGGGAGTGCGCCTCCCCGCGTTTCCTCTCGCGGCCGAATGATGGAAAGCTCCCTCCTGCAAACGCCTCACTGAGGCCACTTCTAAATCCGGGAGGGCTCGGGTTCCTTACCTAACGGCTGCACTCCGCTCCCTTCCTCCCACAGCGTCCCCACCCCCTCCGGGGACGGGGGCTCGGGAGCTACCAGGCCCGCTGCAAGCGGCGACGCGGGAGAAACCACGGGGCAGCAGCGCCCCCTGCAGCTGCCGGGCGCCTCCGCAGCTGCCGCGCAGACCCGATTCTTAAGGTGGCACCGCCGGGTTCCCAGCCGGCGCGCGCCGCTGTCGGGGTTCTCTGCCCGCAGCCGCGGCTCCATCCGCTGCAGGTCTCTAGCAGCGGGCCTGACCGTCCAGAACGGCCGGAGTGTGCAGAACCCTGCAGCTATTTGCTTGATCCCTTGGCCCTAGTACCTGCAGGACCTCTTCGGGGGATGCCCCTCTAGAGATTTCGACGGGCTAGATTGAAAATTTCCTGCGAGTATAGGAGGATGCGTAAGTCCCGCTTCAGGGAGGAACGACAAGAATGGCGTTTCTTTAAGCCTAAATCAAACGTTTATTTTCGGTTATAAAACGCAGAAGTCCAGCAGGAAAGGGTCGCGGAGGGTTGGCACGTCCACATCCGTTGTTCTCTTGGATCCAAGTTTTTATGGTGAGACTGGGCGGTCCCGCCGGGATTGCCTTAGGCGCTCACACCCCGAAAATCGTAGCAGGTGCGGTGCTAGAAGCTTGGGGCAGCGGCGGACCCGCAGGGTAACCTCGCCTCGCGCACCTCCCTAGCCCCCAGCTGCAGCGCACTCCCGTCGACATGCTTTATTTGATGATACCAAGGAAGTTGGAGAAGATCGAAGTGCAATTTTTCTTTTTTTTCTTAATTTTTTTTTTTTCCTAACTAAATGGTATGTGTATGTGAACACAGCATCTCTTGGAAATAAGTGTCCTCAGAGAACTCCAGATTCCTAGGGGAAACCTACGTGCCCTGAGCAGGAAACGCTCAAGCCAACCCAGGTTCCTGTGCCATCCTCAGTAAATTCCCTTCCTTTTGCTCTAAATTCCTCCTCTGAGTCCAGGAGAGGGACGGCCGGGAGCTGTGGAGCAGAGGGCGGGTGCGAGGGCGCAGGTGAAGGGAGGAGTGCTGTGGGCCCGGGACGCGCAGTTTCCAGGCACCGTGGGAACCTCCCTCCCCAGGGGCGCAGGGCCTTGGCTCCGCCCTGCCAGGCCTGGGGCCGAGCGGCCCACCTAGCGGGTCCTGCACTCGGGAAGCCGAGTCTGCGCGCGGGTGGGGCCGCCGCGAGGGAAGCTAGCCTGGGCAAGTGCCGCGCGGGGTCAGACCCACCCCAGGGGTTGCAAACCGCAAGCGAAAGTCGAGAGGGGCTGGAGTTTTCCCTCTAATCCGTTTTACACTGTGAAAACCGCAGGCCTGTCACCTAGGCGGCCACTTTTAAATTGGGAGGCAAATAGACGAAAAACCAAACAAATGCACGAGCAGACTTTTTCCAGCTAAGTTTTTCCTCAATAAAAAGCTGGCTTTCTTGAAAAGAGGGAAGCTGATCCACGCTCACGATTGCTGTCTTGGGGATTTGGGGAGCACTGGGGCGTGCAGGAAGCGAGGCAGCAACCCCAGCGCGCATGGGGCAGCCTGGCCTGTTCCTCTCGCCACGCTCCTTCCCAGGCTTCTCCATGCTTCGCTCTCCACTGGGGTCCAGCCTCTCCACGGGTCACGCCGAGGCCAAATGCTTCTTGCAAGGGGCCCGCGCTTTTTCGCTCGGCCTGAAGGGCACATACTGGCGTTTGGATGTTGGGGCGCAGGGTGTGGTGCGTGTTGATTTGTCTGCTAATCTAGGTTTCCTCCAAGCACCAGGCCTGAAGTGTAGGGGTTTGGGTCGCCAGTGCAGGGGCTCAGGAAACCTCCAGGCCAACCAGAAGAAACACAGACACCTTTCTAATGTCACAGTTTCCCCCAGGGGAAAAGCGGAAGTTGCTAGGCGCATGACCCAGCACCCGGGCAAACCCTCGACTTACCTCGCGCTCTGCTGGGGTGTGCAGGGGGCCCTCCGGAAACCCCTAGATAAGCAAGCAAAGCCTCAAGAAGTGGGTTGGGGAACGCTCACCAGATAAACCATGCATCAGACTTAATCTGCCTGTAATTACATACTCCAAATCTAGGCCCATCTAGGCCAGGTGGGCTGAGTCTTGGGATAGTGGGTGTCTCCTTCCTATGTTGATGTATTAAGAATTCTATGTGGAAAATTATTTTTAGTCAAACTTGTGGTCCCGGAGATAGAGGAAAAGAACAGAGAAGAAAGACAGAAGGAGGAAGAGCTTTATTTTGTGTGTGTGTGTGTGTGTGTGTGTGTGTGTGTGTGTATCTAGAAAAAATTGTTTGGTTAAATTGTGGAGAGGAAGGGAGGGAAGGAAAGATGAAGGCTTTTTCTTCTTCGTTCTTTAAAAGCCCAAACGCTTTCTTTCAGAGTCAGAATGTAGAGAGGCAGTCAGTCTTGGAGCATGTTTATGCAATTGAGGATACTGCTCATTAATTCACTTTTAAAGTGTTTGCTGAGTTGAGCACAGTTTTAAAAAGGTTCTCTCTCACCCAGATCCTGTTTGAAGCTCAAGGCATTTTGACTGAAAGAGATTTGAGATAAAAATTTCAGGGCCGAGCGCGGTGGCTCAAGCCTGTAATCCCAGCACTGTGGGAGGCCGAGGCGGGTGGATCACGAGGCCAAGAGATCGAGACCATCCTGGTCAACATGGTGAAACCCCGCCTCTACTAAAAATACAAAAAATTAGCTGGGCATGGTGGCGCGTGCCTGTAATCCCAGCGACTCAGGAGGCTGGGGCAGGAGAATTGCCTGAACCCAGGAGGCGGAGGTTGCGGTGAGCCGAGATCGTGCCATTGCACTCCAGCCTGGGTAACAAGAG